CCCCCTATAACACTGTTGATTATTCCGTTTTATATGAATTCCATGTTGTACGAGTCACTTAGATTTTACAAATACGTGAGCCGTTCACAGCCCGGCACACATATTTGTAAAATTTAAGTGACTCGTACAACATGGAATTCATATAAAACGGAATAATCAACAGTGTTATAAGGGGTGACTGTATATGGCAACGCAACAAGTGAGTGATCTACCAAGAGGGATGATCTCGGGAGGACTTTCTACGGGAAATTAGCTCTAGTTTCGTGTTACAAACATGAAGAAAAGCCGTTGGCGATGCGCAAATCCAAGACCAGTATTTCCTGGTTTTTATCCACTTGACCACTGGTGGACTTTTGTTTTTGTTTTCCTGGGGAGATACAACAAGCAGATCAATTAGTTTTATTGTATGTATAAACAATCTCGGATTTAGAGTTTTAGGTGCCCTGAGCCAGCAAGCTTTGGTGTCTGTCCGAGTTTCATATACCATACGTTAAAATTTACAAGACACAATTTGTAAATTAAGACTTTCCATGGCCCATAAGTACGGATATTGGGGGTCTTCTACATAATTATACGATATCATAAACTAATAACGTCTAATCTAAATATATAAAATTACTTGTCCTGACTGATTGACTGACTGATTCATCATCGTCCATAGCAAACCGCTGAACCTAAAGAGATGAAATTTGGTACACAGTTAGGGTACGTCATGGAAACGCGCACTAAGAAGGGATTTTTCAAAATTCCCCCGCGGGGGGCAGAGGGAGAGGATTAAGGCTTAATCTGAAGAACGGCTTCTACTGTACTATTTTTTGTTTTCAACTACGTTTAGTTTTCATTGAGTTACTTAGGTGTATTAAATTGATAACATTTCAGACATTGTTATAAACATCTTTACATATTTTGATTTTTTAACCAAATGTTCGAACCTTTTTAAATTCGAATTTGTTATTGCATATTGTCTCGATTATAGAACGATTGTAAACCTTTCAGAAAATTGATCAAATTGAAAATAGTTCGTTTGATTCTCAGCAATTCTCATCATTCTCAGCGGTAGGTGTTATATAACAATTACTATGGTTGTTGAAATACTGAATATAAATAGGGTTTGCTTGCAAAATCCTCGCGGGCAAAGTCGCGGGTAACAGCTAGTTGTAGCTATAGAATTATTTATAAATTATAATAAAGCAATTTTATCATTTCAAATTTTATTTTTATTTATTTATTTTTTTCAATTTTGGAGTTTCAAGGAATAGTGCCTAGAAGCTCCGAAGCTTAGTGCCTCAACTGCCTAGGTACTGTACAATAAGGTACCGGTTATGTATCACTTTATTGTAACTTTGATGTATCAATATTTGAAATGTTATTCCGATAGAAATGTATTATAAGTTCATACACTAATGAGAAAATAAGGCATTAGTTTCAAAACTTTTGCCTCTCAAAATTTGGCGCCCTGGGTCAAGACTCTAGTAGACCCGTTTATAAATCCGACTCCGAATATAAATATATATTTTGTATTAAATATATTTTGATATATTTTACTATTTTATCGAAGTGGAAGTATATAGAAATGCAAACATAAACGCTCATTCTTCCAATTAACGATATCTTTTTATTTCATGCAATTCACATCTCACAACAACCAGTTAAAATTTCACTGACAACAAGAGCAATGTTTTAAAAATAAAAATTCGTGTAACAAATTTGTTATACAATAAACATGAAACAATGGCAAAGCGATTTTCCATTTATAAATGAAGGGTTCGGGTGTTAAATGATGGTAAGTGCCATTTCCATTATACATTATAAAATACGTGCTAACAACTAAACAGCAATGTATTTCAATTTAAATATTATATGCAATTTTTAACTATTTCACGCACTTTATTCTGATTGAAGAAACAAAACAGAAAACTTCTTAAGATGTTTAACTTTTCCATTTTCTGAAAACTATCATTGTGACGCTTACCGTCTTTTACATCAGAACCATTCAAGTTCATGAATATTTTTAGTGAGTTTTATTTTTTTCTAGTAAATAATGTCTTAAAACATTTGAAAACTTGAAAAATTTCAGAAATTTCATTTTTTTAAAGCTTGAGTGAAAAGCAATATTATTCAAGTTTTGTTTTACATGAAATCGCGAGGTGAATTGGAAGTAACCGCTCTTGAGCACTTGACATTGTAGAATTAGATCCTAGGATTCAAAAACTAAGATCCACCTTAAAATCACGATGATTAAAATGATAACTATGAATTTACGATTGTTTGTTGCAACTTGCCCAAACTGAAACATAGTATTCAACATTTTTTAAGTATCAATACTCAACATTAACACTTGTAGGCATAAGTATGATGCACGAACTACATTAAAATCAACCAGATATAATTTCTTTAGTTTTAAAACGATCAATGACACACATTAAATCTGTACATATTCATTTCTGGCTCTACAGATAAAACACTTGAAACGTCAACATGAGATGAACTTCAGAATCTTTCATTATAATGTTTCAGGATCGGTAATAGTCAGATATTCATCAATGGCCTTCTTTAAATGCAAAGAAAAACAATATTTAATGAATGATGAAAGTCTATGGAGTGGTTCCTTTTCAGATTTCTTTGCACAGACATATAGAGAAAATCATTCCAAAAATCTGAAAAAAATGTAAATATATGTAATTTTAGTGTATGGAATAAAAATAATATTTTATATTAAAAATTGTTTGATAACTAAAATTTTATTGGTCTAGTTCAGTGGTTCCCAATTAGTGGTACGCGTACCCCCGGGGGTACGCGAAATTGCATGAAGGGGTACGCGCGGCAATCTAAAATCGGCCGATTTAAAATTTAAATGCATGAGATGAAACAATCAAAAAAATAAGGTTGGACCATCAAAAATTCGGCAATTTACAACACAATGTGGAATGCACAAATTCGTTCATTTATAACTAAAAATATTCTCGAAATTTCATTCTTAAAAAAATGCATTTGTGACAATACCTAAATTCTTACGCAAGAAATAAAAATTGTACAATTATCATTATTATCATGTCAGTGAAGCAGCAATAAAATATTTACTACCATTTTGCATAACATACCTCTGCGAGAGCAAATTTTCGGCCATGACAAACGTGAAAACTAAACATCGTCACTGACTTCAACTCGAAGATGACTCGAGACTGAAGCTGACCAAAAAGCAACCAGATTTTACAAAGTTGTGCAAAGAAAATCGTGCACATTTGTCACGTTAAAATTAATTTTCATTATTACTGTATTAGAATTGTATTTTAAAGGTAATAAATGTAAAAAAAAAACTTATTCTATTTATCACTTACTGTCTACCCACAGCTTCGCCCGCATTATATCGAATTTTATCGTGGGAGTAAGATATTTTCTCGCAGTAAAATGTAGCCTAAGTCCATCTCCAACATGTAAGCTATCTCTGTGTCAAATTTTATTAAAACCTGTTCAGCGGTTTAGACGTGAAAAGGTGACAGACAGACAGAAATACCTTCGAATTTATAATAGTATGGATTAATATGAATTTCTGCTATAAGGGATACGCGAGTTTGAGCTCTTTCTTGAAGTGGTACGCAGGAAAAACTAATTGGGAACCACTGGTCTAGTTCAATACATTTACGATCATACATTTATAATCATATAATATTGCTATTGAACGTTGGTAGTTGATCCCGGGTTCGAGCCTGATCCGTCGATCCGGTCTGAACCTGGGACCAACTACCAATATTCAGTGCTGGCTCCGTAGAATATTTCGAGTTCTATTTACATGTCTAACACCAAAATAAGTGATAGTTTCCTACAGAAAATGCTTCAGGGGTAGATCTCTCAGCAGATTACTCGCGTGTTGCATTGACGTATCTCATCAAACCAATTAATTTTCATTTATTATATATATGAAAAACAATTTTGGCATAAAACTTGAAATTTATATTGAAAAAATAAATAAATAAAATTTTCACAGTTTGGAGAAAATCGAATCTGAGTCTTCCCGTTCAGAACAATATAGAATATATAACTTGGTGGGACAAGATATAAATCCGAACCTTCTTTGCAGTCCAAGGAAGCCATATTGTATAACGTACAGTACGTTACTTTTTGCAACTTTTTACTTTTATTGAGATTATTAACATAAAAAAATCTTAAATTTTTATGGTCTGTAAAAGTTTTTGGAAACTTTTCTGAAAACTAGAATATTTTCCCTTTTAATTCAACAATCATTCAATTCAAAAATTCTGTTTAAGGTTTCGAAAGAAGTAAAATTTCGATAAATTCACTCCTTTGCAATATACCTTTATCTCTGATCATTTCCGAAAAATTTCTAAAGTGAGAAGTAATATAAAAAATACTAAAATATTTAGTAAACGATAACGGAAGATACTTACTAAAATGAAGAAAATATCAATACTTTAGTTTTCAAGCAGATAATTTTAATCTAAAAATGCTGTCAACATTCAGGTGACTCACTTTTACTTGATTTGCGGTTGTTATTTTTGTAGTATTAAAAGCAATTAATTGAAAAACCGATAATCAGTTTTAAAAAACAGAATCAATGTAGAAAAGATGGAAATGCGATATGAATTTATTATTTAAGTATTAATCTTTAAGAAAAATGTTAGAGAATAATTAGTTTTAGAAATCATTTTCAGAATATCAATAATGCATTTCTGAAACTGAAAACCTTGGAGCCCACCAGTAGTTGAGTGGATAAAACCACTAAACACTAGTAGCAAACGGATTCATGTCTCGTGAAATGATTGGTTGGTGGAGTTTTCGGGTTTTCTTCTCTNACAGCAATGTTTACATTACAAAACATTTGCTTCCTTTTCCAATACCTTGTACAAATGATAAGATAGAGCACAAAAATGACTATTTTTTCTATATTAAATTATTAATATATTTTATGTTGTTTCGTTAGTTAATGTTTAATAAATGGTGTGAAGTTGTATATGTCAATGTTCCAATTATATGATGAATTTTAGAACAAAGTGATCGGCATATGTACAAATACAGTATGTATAATTCATTTGACAATCAGTAAAACTGTTAAAAAAAATCTTTCATCACTTTTAGCAATAAAATTGAAAGGAAAACACCATGCACAAGTAAAGTGTGCAGTTTAAGAACTTGTTAATAGTTTAAAATTGTTGAATTTAGTCAGAAAAAATGTCAGTCGAATGACATTTACCTATTCCATGTTTATGGAATTTTATATCATTTATTCTGGAGCAATATGATTCTAGTCTGTCTCATTTCTACTTAAAAACTGGCTTGAACTTGTACAAACAATTTTTGCTTTTCATTAAATAAAAATTGTTGTAAATTTATTAATCAAGATTTAAAACATGGCACAATTTAATTCTNATCATATAAAAATATGGTTCAATTTTTTTTTTTTTAAATTTTAAATTTTCAACAAACTTTGAACAGGAAATCAGACAATTTCTTGAAAAGTAACTGCTGTAAAGGAAACTACTTTTTTCAAAAGCGTCATTTATTTAATGATATTTTGAGTTAGCTGATAATATAATTTTATAAAATAAATAAAAATATAGAACCAAACATTTTCACAATTGTTGTCCTACGTGTCAATAGTTTTCTATACGCAAAACAATATTTTATTATCAATTAAAAATTATAAGACAATTTTGAAAAATTTGGACAATCTTAATTAATATAAATATTGTCATACAGAGATGTATTGTAAATTAGCTGTTCTCGGAGCAGTTTATAGAACTATACATGTCGGTAGGTACAGTATATGAATTGTTCTCCGAACAATTCATATACTGTATCTACTAATCCACGATACGCCTCTTTTGTCATATGTTCATTGTCATATTCATTCATCTAATTGATAATTGTTTTATAATTTATTTTTTTTTAAATACTTGATGATCGTAAGTATTTTATCCAATGCTGTCTAGAGAGATATTTAAAAGTTCAACTAATTTCATTATATTACCATCATTTTTATTTACACTTTTCTGTTCCTCTTCAATAAATTATACAATAACAATCTTGTTTACAATCTTGCTCTTTTATGAAAAAATCGAAATAAAATTCAAAGCATAAAAGGAAAGGGAACATAGTACGATTTCCTTGAAAATCGTAACATTTTACGTTGAAGTCAATGTTTGTACTGTACAGTACATGTCAATAATTACACACGATTTAAAAATTGCAAGATCTGAGTAAATCAGACCGAATAAATTATACTATATTTTCAATTGCAACAGACGAACTCGGAGGCTATTCAAAATTGATCAATAGGAATTTTTAAAACTCTTTCCGTCCTGTAGTTACTATAAGGCTTCTTTTTTTAGCAAGCCCATTTTGGGTTTTGCTAGACTCACAATGAGGCACCCAGTGGTGAGGGACAGGGCTTGACATGTACGGACAGACCATTTCTCAAAAAATTCCAGGGTTTTTTTGACCCGTCAAGGGGGCGATACTACGTTGAAGGGAGCGACGATTCATTAGAGGTTGAGAAACACTGCTATAGACAGTCCTCCCGAGAGGCACTCTCCCTCGGCAGATGGTCCATGTGTTATCCTATCAATCCAATTTAATGTCTAGGGATATTTTTTTAAACACTGTTATATTAAAATGCATTCATTTTATTAACAATAATAATTATGCAAATAAACTGTAAGTAAGAATCATACTGTAACAAAACACGTTTTAATCGAATTGATATACCAATTAATTTACAACTTATATGCCGAAACTTTTACAAGCCAAAGTCTACGCTCTTTTTGACTCCAGAAAACGCCTATGGCCCCTGTTCCTGAAGTCGTCCTGGTATAGATGACGAATTAAACCAGGAGTTAAGAGGAACTTTCGCACTTTCTCTTGGCTACTAGTTCAACTACTAATAATATAATCATCATCAATTTAACTAACAACTAATGCTTAATTATTAAATAATAGTTTTGATATGAAATCTGAACGTACAACTGACAATTTTTACTACCCACTACAGACTGAGTGGAAACAAGTACACACTGAACATTGGTAATTGATAGTGGTTTCACGCATGACCAACAAACTGGCTGCGTGTAATTTTCCGGGTTTTGTTTACGTGTCTCAAACCTGAGTAGGGACCATTTTCCCATATGATGTCCTCTCGGGAGACACCTCCTTGGCAGTTCGTTGTATTGTGTTGTCCTATTCCATTAAACCAATCAAATCTAATTTTTATACTATTATACTGTATAACATTTTAAAATTTGTGAAATGTGATAACACTGTTATAATTAATAATTAAATGCGATAACACAAATTAAATAAATATAAATAATGTCTTGCTTGTTTATTCAAAGTATTATTGTACACATAGAAAAAGTTTTCTAGAAATGCTATTGGGGCTTATCTGTGTAAAAGTGCATTACCATNCTACACTCAACAAGCCACTAATAAAACTCAACTGCCTAACCTATAACCAAAGTCTCCTTTTAATTTGTTTTTTAAAAAAAGCGCTTGACAAACTTGCCCCGCTTGCCGAAGTTGCCCCGATCTCCCCTAATTTTTCTATTCTTAAGATTAGGATTTAGCTATTCTTCCATTTTCTCCAGCTATAAAAAATCAACATTTTTCAATGTTAATACAGGTAACCCCCGTATAACACGGCACTTCTGTAGCACGGATTCACTCTAACATGGTTTGAGAATTGGGAACATACCCCGTATAGCACGGGTTCACTATAACACGATTCGGGAATTGGGTAAAACCATCGTACAACATAAAATGTAATAAAGGGTGCGTTCTTTTATACCTCCGCATAACTCCGCACGAGCATTCTAATTTTTTTCGTGGCTACTTTGAATGCTCTTTCAACAAATAATTCATTTAATGGTTAAATTATACAATTGGGACCCTTCTTTTGTCTCTAAAAGCTCATTTTAGAATTATAGATTCCTCCACACAATACTATCGATAATGCGGGCGCCGCCATCTTTCTTTCATCGTCGTTCCTAAATGCCTACAAACGGCAGCGCACTGCTGTTGCAGAGCGACCGCTATTAACGAACGCACCCACAAACTGTTACCAGTTGATGATGCTCACGCTGAGATCATCATATAAAATGAATAATCCTCTGGTAAAATATTTGCTTAAATAATAAATAAGTATTTTACCTATGAAAAAAATGAATAATAAGTATTTAACAACATGTTTTTTAATTTCTGGAACCTAACCTCCCTTTTCGCACTAGTTCTTTGTTTCGTATAACACGGATTCGCATAACACGGCAATTTTTTGGAACTTAACTTCCGTGTTATACGGGGGTTACCTGTATAGCACTAATTACTTTTACGTTATGAATAAACTACTTTTCTTTACAACATTGATTCTATGTCCGTGTGTAACAAGAAATCGTCTTTAGTTTAGGTTAGTTTAGTTGATTTTAAACAGAGTACTAACTCTTATTTAAAAATTTATAGAAGAGGAACATAAAAATGTCTGCTCCTCTTTTTCGAAAAAAGTAAATAAAAATGATGGTAATACAATGAAATTATCCAATTGTTATTTGTTGAGAAAAATTTTACAAAAAAAACTAACATAAAAGGGTCATTGACTCATTCAATTGAAATAAATAACAAAGCAAAAATAAGTGTTCAGGGCTAATAACATCACAGTTATTTATCGAAGTGTGACTATTGGAAAGGAATTATACTACAAACCTAAATTTTTATTTTGATATTGTAGAGATTACTTTTAAGATATGTCAATTAATAATAATAACTGTTATCATTTTACATATATTTCTTTTAATAAAAATCAATTGTATGTATTATTATTTTGATAATGATAAGCGCTAGAAGTTATTTTATGGTTTAGAAAATACAATTTATTTTAAATAATTTAACACAGTTATTTATATTAAATAGTTTCTTTTTATAATTTTATATCATTTAGCAACAATACGCATAGTATACGATGTATTTTTTTTAATGTAACATTTTTATCATGGAATATAGACGACCGATGACCGAGGCATCAAGCTAGTGCTCTGGGGGAGCCGGGGTCGAATCCGGGGAGAATTTTTCACGGGCAATTTGTCTGGGATATATTAGGACTCTCTCACCACCTATTTCTCCCATTGTAAGTCTGGTTCTTTCCGTCTTGCGGATATCTTAGGTCTCACAGAAGACCGCCGGATGGCTGAGCGGTCGAGGTAGAAGCCTACCGCTCTTGGAGAACTCGAGATCTAATTCGGACGAATCGAAAAATTCCCAAGAATTTTTCGGATGGTGGTCCGTCTGAATATGTCGAAGACAGGCCCTCTTAGTGCCCGTAGGGCGGAAAGAGTTTTAAAAAAGTGCTCACAGGACGGAAAAATTCAAAATGGAATATTATAATTAAACAATGTTTTGTTATTGTATCTATTCGTTGATCACAATTTCGTTTTGAATTCGAGTCTACCAGAATGAATGTAGCCGAATGGATAAATGTACTGAACACCGGTCGTGGTCGTGAGTTCGCTTCTCTCCAACAGGCTGGCCACCTGAGATTTTCCTGGTTTCCTTCACGTATGTAACAACTAAATTGGAACCAGTTTCCCATAAACAGTTCTCCTGGGAGACATCCTTCTTGGCACATCGCCCTCGTGTTGTGTGCCGTATTCACCAAACCTGTCTAGTCATTTTGAATTTATGATAAATGATGACTTTTTGGTTTTCTTTCCATTATCTGAACTAATTTTTAAAATTCAGAATATATTCTTAAAAATAAATGAAATTTTAATAAAAAAATCAAAATATTGAATTAATAATATTAAAAATTTTTAACAATCAGAAAAATTGCAACTAAACAAAATACCCTGCTTGCCCTCTTCAATCTAATTCTGGTCGATCATGAAATATTAAAATTGTAAATATAACTTCTGAGAATTGAATATATGAATACTTTTCACCATCTGAAAGAATTTTTTAAGTTTTATAATTTACGCGAATAATTTGGATTTGGTTGTTTGGAATTTTTTTTATCGATAGTCTAGCTCAGCTTAATTATATAATCGATCTCAATGCCTTGTCCTATTCATAAAAACAATTTATAACATAATGCCCATTATTATTTGATGAAGGAGGAAGGGTCTCATATATTGTCAGCATAGCGCCACAAGCCTAAATCTGGCTATGGCAATAGCTCTCATATTTTAAAGAGAGGAACAAAATCCAACTTCTATGCTTATTCGTAAAATTATTGATCCAGATCGAGAATTACTTACTGCACAGTCATTTTGCTGGCGAGACATTAAAATCATTTAACAATTAATTAGTTTTGAAACAAAATTTCATTATAAACAAATAATTGTTTTAATTAATATTATCAGAAAGTGTTTTTCTCTATTCGAGGGAATTGACATTCAGGACTAGGACCGGACTAAACATTATTAGACCTGTGACACCTGTTGCATAGATATGATAAATAAACGAATCATATTATGAGAGTAAAAACATAATCATTCAAATAAAAACAATAATTTACTTGTTTGAAATTATTTATAATGCAATTTGTGTGGTTTTGTAACGGGAGCCGCAATTATAAGCGGGTTTGCAAGATGGCTGGATGTGTTTGTTTCGATAAAATATGGCGACGTAACATGTAGGCGATCTGCAAAGGGGCTGTCTCCCCGGAGGACTTTGTGTGTAAAATTGGTCCCTTTTTAGGTGTTATACTCGTGAAGAAAACCTGAAAAATTCCACGCGGCCAGCTCATTGGTGAAGCGAACCCATGGCCGATGCGGTTAAGGCATCAGCCTACCGCTCTGAACATCGGGTCGAATCGGGATATAGTGTTAAAATTTCTGGTAAATTTATGCAAAAAGTTATGTGTTTACCTCATTAATTATATTCAAACTTCCTAATAACACCTTTCTAGATATCGCCATCCTCGTAAAGCTCCAATAACTACTAAATAGAGATCCTTTCAACATCACCGAATTTCTAAGAGTACAATTTTGGATTGCAAAAATCACGTGAGTTTCAAACTTCCAATATGAAACTTGTATGTAAACCTCTTTACATCATTGTTATTGCTGAGAAAGCGGCACACTCGATTTAATGCCATTTTCAGAAACAAATAACTATGTTAAATTGAATTTAACTATACTCTATAAAAAATGAATTGAAGTTTTCATTTTGAAAAATAAACATAATTGCGAGTGCTTTCCGATTTTAAATATAGAATTCCCTAATTAAGTTTCTCGAAGTTTAACAAAGAAAATTTTATCTTCAATCGAAAATTAATTTAATCTTACACAATATATTAATATTTATAAGATGAAATAATAATGACATATACAATCGAACCTCTGATAACGGCCACTCCTCAATACAACCATCTCCAAACAGCGGCGATTTTTTAGGAACTTTTTATTTTAACAAAAATTCATACAAAATAACCTCCAAACAACGACCACTTTTTATACTCCAGTCAGTGGCCGTTGTTTAGAGGTTGGGCTGTATATGTAATAATTAGTCGCAGTAAATTAATAGAACTTAACCACGAATTATTTTAAAATACTGTACTTACTATAAAATATAAGGCTAATAAAATTAGAATAATTTCTTATGTGTAATATTTTATTCATTTACTATTTATAGAATAACACTTAGAATTGAATTTGCATTAATTTGTTGAACGTTTGTAATTTCCTCAAAGTAATAATTTGTCTTGAAAATTATACGTCACTCACCTCTAAAGCTGCAATTCCACACCCAATAACCATAAAAAGAAAACTTTCTTCTTTAATAAATTTCTCCAATTTTTCTAGACATGGCTGAAAAAAATATTATTATTTTATTCATGTAAATCATATTATATTTCTTTAAGAAGAAAGATGAAATGTTACCGTTGTGTGAACGTAATCGGCAGTTTGGGACTGACACAACGTTTCGTTAATGGGATGAGGATTTAAGTAGGCTTCTGGATCGTCCATATTTGATAGAACGCAACAAGATTTACTGATATTGTCACCTTTGCCCATTCCCTGTTTTTTCCATCTGCTTTCTGAATAATCTTCGGCACCTTTTACTCCACAACATTTAAACTAAAATATAGAACTAAATTAAAATAACTTTAATATATATACACATACGTGGTATATTCAAAAAACTATTACTCGTTGCAGGGGCACAACTAAGGGGCTGGTAGGAGATGTGCTAGGTAAAAGGGCGCCTAGACGAGAGGATGGCTATTTGAAAAATAAATTATATGGGATAATTTATCGGCGTCAGGTAAGATGCCGGAAAATGTATGTAAGGGGAGAGAGATGCGCGCTGTGCGCAACTCTCCTTGGTGACCCACATGTACTGTACAGTACTGTACTGTACTGTACACTGCCGCTGACTGACTAAATCAACTAAACTAATCACGTGTCGTCAACGCAAAACAAGAGAATCTTACTTTGTTCTGGGTGACAGAGAACTTAGTTGCGTCCTTGACTCTTTAACAAAGAGCCAAATTTGAAGTAACACTAAGTTCATCAACATTTTAACTCTTACTGTTATCTTAAGAATGACTCGAGTATACAATTACAAATTAATAGCTGTCATAATCGTTAAAACATAATTAATTTTTAAAATATATTCAATAGATTTAGATAAAGCATAGTCTATATCTTAATATAAATATTTATTCGATTTTTATTTATGTAACATTGAAAATAATATTCAGTAGCTTGTTTGTTATATATATGATTCTAAAAATCAATATTAGTCTAGTTGAGTGCAAAAATAGAATTGTAAGTATCAACAGGTAAAGGAAAAGGGGTCAAGATGCCATTTAATTAATAAACAGAGAGAGAAGGATAGATTGAGGTCAATGATATATCATAAGAGAAATTAAAATTCTAGCAGATGAATCCAATTTAATTCATCAAATCTATTTTATTCCTTAGGAAAAATCTTCGAAGTAACGACCTTTAATTTGTATCGAATTGGTTTACTTTCAACCGAACGTAAATGCAAATAACTTCTTTTAATAAAAGTATAGATTCAACTCTGATAACATTCAAATGAAAATCGTAAACATCTTTGGATCGAAAACTAACTAAACATAGAAAATTTTATATTTTTAAAAGACAAACATTTTTTTTTTTTTGTATTCAGTCATGAAATATCAGGATAATAATAAACTCAATTACTTTATCTAAACGTTTTTTCCTATATAATTTACTGCCAGAACGTCTCAGAGTTCGAGAGAGGCCCTTAATAAGTTGTTTTAAAAAAAAGTAAAAAGCAGAGTTAAAAACTATATTATATATTTTTTAAAATAAAATTTGGCAAAAAACTTAAGAATTTTTTTCTTAATGCATAAGAAAACTAACAAAATTAATAATTTGTAAGAGTTGGTTTTGAGGAATTTGTCTATCCAGGGTAAGTCAGACCCCTTCCTTCACCAATCTATAGCGCTAAAAAAAGGTCTTCTAACTGAAGAAAGAGTTTTAAAAAAGATTTAAAGTTTGCAGTAGTTAAAATATTCTGATTAATTGTATTTCTTAAGTCTATTCCTTATCGTTTCAGAATTTAATCGAATCTTTTAAACATCTATATATATTATGAACAGCTGAAAATCTTCAATCATTGAATTGACAATTTTCATCCTACTCGAAATAAAAAGAAATTATTAATTACAATTAAATTTACAGATTTAATTTTACTATTTTAACTATATTTAAAAAATGTATTAGGCTAGTCATTAACGTTATTTAAATATATTTTCTACTAAAACTGAAACTAACTCTTAGAGAATTTAATTAAGCATTTTTTCGTAAAAATGGCATCGTTAAAGGAGACATTTTTGGTTACCTTTGACCAGGGTGTGGTTTAATTACGTCTTTAATGCCTATGAATTTATTATGATTATATTTATGATGCTGTTAGAATGAATTCCTAACCTACCTTTGTTTGTGTTAGATCAATGGCTTGTGTCAATGGCTGGTCAATACCATATTCTGTCTTGAGAATATCCGTAACACTCTTTTCCATATTTGACGTCACCTGATACGAAAAAAAAGGCAGAAATTATTGGCTTAGTACAAACATTATTCTTAAAATCTACTTAATAAATATCATTCATTTTTAAACAATGTTAAGATGATTGAAGACTAATTAATAAGTATCTATTTAAAGCATAGTGAACTGAAATGAATGGATGTGTTAAGTAAATATTTTCAAATATAGAACTTAAAAGCATTTTAAAAATAAATTTTTACTATATTATTTCTAGGGTTTCATACAGTCGAACCTCCAACAACGGCCACCTCTAAATAACGGCATTTTTTTTTCTATTACTGTTAGTGGCCGTTGTTCAGGGTTTGGCTATTGTTATTAAATTACAAAGCTGCATTACTGTTGCTATATAAAGATTAATTAAATATTTAATAATGATTTTAATTAATTTATTACTCGAAAGAAATAAGATATCAGTTTACGAATAAATAACTTCAAAAGTTCTTATACAATTTGGTTAGATGTATAAATTACGTTTATTAAAATTAATTAAATTGATAAAAGTAATAATTAGTTTTGCTTAAATAATTTTATGATTAGTCAGCGAAGATAATTTTTTTGTTTTTATTTTTTTTAACAGCATTATGTTTATTCTGGGTACTTTCAGGTTGTCTGTTGATACACTTAAATATAGCATTAGAAGTTTTTTTATTAACTTAAATTAGCTAATTAATTTTTCGAATATATACATATATTAAATTACATTATTTTGTTTTTAGCGTTATAACAAAGAATATCGTGAAAATTATAATGATTAGAGGGTGATAATTTAAGTATGAAGACTTAATATTGTTAATTATTTCGATTTAATGAACATTCTAAGGTGCATTCGTATTGTCAAAACAATATATATTTTCATGTCTATTTGACGTGATTTTGCCATTTCGCAATTCAAAAACGTATAGGAATGACGTCAGATTGACATAAAAGTGTGCAATATTTTGATAAAATGAAAAGCGCTTTCATTTCGTTAGAACAGCACCCTTTTACATCACTTTGACGTCATTCTTATGCTTTTTTTTTATAATTAGTAAGCATTAGATGACATCAAGTTGACTTAATGGCAAACATTATTCTGATGTAACGAATGCACCTTAATGCGGTGCTAGTTAAGGTGTGAACCATTTATCTAACTGGTTTGGTTGGTTTATTCGTATACGGCATGCTTTTCCAACCGGATCGATAAAATTAAAAACATTAAAAATTTTACACATTTTTCCCTCTAAAATAAATATAGGAAGATTTATTTGAGAGGGAAAAGCTTATGTAAGAGGCTGTTGCATATAGATCTATATTTATACATAATACTATATTGAAGTGGGGTCGATGGAAAAAGTTTTCTTAAAAGGAGTCGATACATGAAAAACGTTGAGAACACGACAATAAAAGTTAGATTTGTTTTATACGTTAATAAGGACTTATCACACCAGTGATAATAAGCACAAACACCCAGATATCAATGGAAAGCAATTTCTTTATATTGTTTTATACGGCAATACGACACGTGTGCGATCTGCCGAGGAGAGGATGTCTTCCGGTAGATCTTTTAATGGTAAACTGTTCCCTGTTTAGGTGTTACTACCGTAAAGAAAATCCGGAAAACTTCATATGGCAAGAGAGGCGCGAATCCAAGACCAACTATCAGTGTTAAGTGATTTTATCTACTCAGCCGCTTGTGGATCGAGTTGTTTCGTGGTTGAGGGTTTGAAAGCAGGAGGATGGAATAAGTTGCTGATAAGAAAGAAATTAGTATAACTGGAATAAAGTAATTAATTTTAAAACAGCGAACTATGAACTGATGATTCTGTTCACGCTCATAAGGATTTTATCTTTCATCTCTTGGATGAATGTTCCTCCAAAAAATAGATAGATTTTTAAAATATATAAGAATTTATCTCGACAAAATATAATGTACAACACGAAAAAATATTTTTTCAGCAGTTTTCGTAGCTACAATTTCAGAATGATTTCGAATTTTGTAGCTGTAAGAAATGAATGACAGCAAATAGTTCGCTGTCATTCAAGTGAAAACATAAGAGAAAAAAAATTGGAAAAACAAAGATATAAAAATACTCGATTAAAATATTGTAGACAGATTGAATAATATTTTATTTCATCATAACACCCTAAAAGGTATAATTATAGTAACTATGGAGGATTACAATTCATTTACAATTCTCCAAGAAACGTCAAAATTTTTATAGAAAAATATTTTTAGAACAATGTATGTAAATAGTCTATCTGTATCATTAATCTGTATAAAATGATGTATTAACGTTAACGTTATTTTATATAATACAGTAGACCCCCTATAACGCGAAGATACGTTCCTCGTTATACGAATTTCGCGTTGTAGGAATCCTTGGGCTGTGATTGGCTCACGTATTTGACACGTGTGAAGTTTACGGACTGCGGCTGTTTGAAAGGTTTTCTTCCATAAAATTAATCGATTCTAGACTAATTCGACTTAACATTTCCAAAATACGTATATTTTTGGGNTTATGAAACTTATTATTTTCTTTTACGATGAAGCCAGAAAACTGGATGGAAAATAAAATTTAGCCTACTGCAGGGCGTGCCGTCATTGGAAGCGGTGGATGCGCCGCTTCCCTCGTATTTTCTAAAAAATAAATACATATTAATTTTATTGTGATTATAATTTACAGTAATGTGTTATATTAAAATGCATTCATTTTATTAACAATAATAATTATGCAAATAAACTGTAAGTAAGAATCATACTGTAACAAAACACGTTTTAATCGAATTGATATACCAATTAATTTACAACTTATATGCCGAAACTTTTACAAGCCAAAGTCTACGCTCTTTTTGACTCCAGAAAACGCCTATGGCCCCTGTTCCTGAAGTCGTCCTGGTATAGATGACGAATTAAACCAGGAGTTAAGAGGAACTTTCGCACTTTCTCTTGGCTACTAGTTCAACTACTAATAATATAATCATCATCAATTTAACTAACAACTAATGCTTAATTATTAAATAATAGTTTTGATATGAAATCTGAACGTACAACTGACAATTTTTACTACCCACTACAGACTGAGTGGAAACAAGTACACACTGAACATTGGTAATTGATAGTGGTTTCACGCATGACCAACAAACTGGCTGCGTGTAATTTTCCGGGTTTTGTTTACGTGTCTCAAACCTGAGTAGGGACCATTTTCCCATATGATGTCCTCTCGGGAGACACCTCCTTGGCAGTTCGTTGTATTGTGTTGTCCTATTCCATTAAACCAATCAAATCTAATTTTTATACTATTATACTGTATAACATTTTAAAATTTGTGAAATGTGATAACACTGTTATAATTAATAATTAAATGCGATAACACAAATTAAATAAATATAAATAATGTCTTGCTTGTTTATTCAAAGTATTATTGTACACATAGAAAAAGTTTTCTAGAAATGCTATTGGGGCTTATCTGTGTAAAAGTGCATTACCATAAGCCATTGGCATAGTCGTGCACTTATTATTTGATAATTTGTCACGATTAATGAAATTCGATTTGTAAGTATGAATTCGCCTTTTAAATATAAACGAATTTAAATCGTTTATAGTTAAAATCTTGTATTCGACTATAGCTTTATTTTATTACGTTAGGACGTTAGGTAATATGTTTTAAACTAATTAAAAATATTAACATTAATAAAATTTTAAACACTAGCCAGGACGATAATTACATTTAAAAAAGGCCCTGAGGTGTGAAAACGACGAAATATGAAGAAATATAAAGAATCCTGTGTTTTTCTTCAATTAATTTCTTGTAACTTTTTTAAAATGTAATTAAAAAATATGTTTAAGTCATATTTAAACGCGTTTAAAGATTGAAAAATTTAAGAATTTACTTAAATTTGGTATTTTTTAAACATTTTTACTAAATAGCCAGTTACTATCAAATACAGGAAATGACATCATATAAAAATATGGTTCAATTTTTTTTTTTTAAATTTTAAATTTTCAACAAACTTTGAACAGGAAATCAGACAATTGCTTGAAAAGTAACTGNGATCATCTATCTAACTCCTTTCAGAAAAAAAAATTTGAATTGAAATAACGTGGCTTCCGGTTTGTACCAGAGATTCATGTATAGTTAATCGGGACCTCCTGCCCCTAAGGTTTCCATATGTAGTCTCATCTTTCATCTATCTAACTCCATTTTCGATATTAAGGAAAGACAGACGAGCGGACAGACGGACGCCAGTAGGAATTTATAGAGCTACAACTTTTTCAAATTGCAGCCCAGTAAAAAAAAACTATGAATGAGATAAATATTTCTTTATTGTATTAATCTCTTATTTTTTCACATTTCAGCAAAATGCTGCTTTTATTATGTAGCTTAATATTTTGATTATCTATCAGTAATCCATTTTTAATTATTTAAACTGATAAATCTACTAATTTACTTTAAAAATTCTTAAAATAACCTATTCTACATTAGTTATCGAACTTACAAAGTCCTTCGTTTTCTATCAAGTTAGGTTTTTCTTCCCCTCTAATAAAATAATGTTTTGTTTTACTTTGAATAATTAGTGATAAAGTTTTAATTAGATTTTTTAAATGAAGATTTTAATTTAATTTATTTAAAACAAAGCCAAGAAATTTAATATATTTCAATAAATTTTCATGGGTTTACAATAGCACGTTTATTTATTATGTAATGTGTTAATTAATTGTCTATTATCTCGATTTTTAATCAAGAGTAGATTGACAATCACTTGTTAAAAAATGGCATTTTAAGTATTTCAAATTAATAAATATATTTTATTTAATCATCTAAAACCAAATTTATTAGTTAAATATTCTCGAATCCTCAACATTGTACTAGTACAGTTGCCTCGAGTATCATTATGATCATTAACTATCATTACTCAGCTGCTTTTAACTATAGCCGATGTCAGGAATGTCACGCTTTGGTTTCTAATAATAGCAGGATCCTGCCATACAGAAACTTTGTGGTCAT